GACATTAAATACCGTCGAAGAGCGCTGGAATCGGCCGCCAAACCGCCGATTGTGTCTGCGCTGGACATCGTCGATCATATGTTACGGCGAAAAATTCATTGTAGCCTTTCCCACGGATTTCGCGTCAACTTTCGTTTCGCCCGCAAGATTCAAGCGTTTTTGATTACCGGCTCTTTCTGGCAAAATTTCGAGGGAAATTGAGAAAGGAAATCCTTTTGCAAAGGATTCAATATCGTCACAGATTTCTTAAGGATGTTGGAATCCATTGAAATATTCGTTTTCCATAATAAATAGAGCTGTGCGGTTCGCTCGCGTAAAGCGAGCTTTCAATTCTTTATAATATTTATGAAACATTTTTTCGTCCATTTTGTTTTGTCGAAACAGAAAGAGCATTTTTATAAAATTTTCCTCGAATCTCACATGACAAACATCGAGCTAGATATTAGATTCGTGCGTAATTTATAGTTTTAGATTTATAGATAAAATTAATAGTCAACTATTGACCTTTACCGAATAATAAAGTATGCTGAACTTGCGAGTTCTCAAAGGTCACTTAACGCGCCTGCAAACGATAAACGAGCTGCTCGCTAGCCAGTAAAGTAGGTGATAACCTTTTTCTAGGCCGCAGGCTACATCTTTTTTATCTTCATCTATTCGTAGCAGCTATTTGCGCCGCTGGGAGGAGACACAAAAGAGAAGAAAAAAAACGCGCGTTAAAGAGCACTTAGCAACGCTTATGCAACGAGGTGCTATTGTCTGGAAAGCTGCGTAATTAATCAATTATCTTACGTACGCGATATTGTGATTCAAAGTAATTTTTACTAGTGGCTTTCTTTTATTTCTAAAAACATTCGGTATCGCGGCAAACTAATGCCACGTGAAAGATTGATCGACGATATCTTTTTCATAAGACCATAACTCAGCTTTGCATTGAATATGCGAATTGTGAAAAATTTTTCCTTGAGTGCGCCTGACGCGTTTACGCTCCACGAATGCGAATTGAGTAAGATTTGCAAATTTCGAGGAAAAACGAAACGTGGATTTTTGATGGTTTTATTTCTGTGTAATACATACATACATATACATATATACACGCGTCCTTCGATATCGGGCAACTGAAGAAAGCAATTTTTCATCGCGGCATCATCGCTTCGGAGTGATCGAGGAAAGGTGTTTAAAAACTCTAATTTAAAGTCTGAATGAAATTTCACGGCGGACGACAAACTTTTTGCAGTCGTTCCGCGACTACTGCCGCAAGGGCGCGGTGCGCGCACGGATGTTCGTGTCGTGGTGGTTACGCCAAAATGCGCAAGAAAATATGAACGTTCATCATTCGAGCGGAACCGGAAACCCATGCGGATATATCCCCGGTACGGATTCTGCTGAGTGAGGGGCGGATATAGGGTGGGCAGAAGGGAGAAGGAGTTGCTTAAATCTGCGGAGTTGGGACAGGACTTACCGCCAAGACGCGGCTCGCAAATGGCGTTCAAATTAATTTCAACAAAGTTCGTAAATTATTAATACCCGCCGGGCCGGCGGCTGCTGACTCGGTTGTTCCCGGCTAAATGTGCTGTTTAATTAGGAAATCTGCGATTTGTGGTAAGACGGGGATTGTCAACAATTTTACGTTACGTTGCAGAGCGCAATGCTACCTTTTCGCCCGCTGACCACCGGCTGTACCATGCAGATAGATTGCGGATATATATCTCGTATATATATCCGCCAGTGAAACGAGCTTAAAACTATTCCGACAACACGACGCGACGCGTATCACACCGCGTGGTGTGTTTGCGCCCATTTCAATTACTCGACGCAGCGTGGAAGTTTCTAAAACAACACGGTGAAATCGTCACCATACGCCGAATGCTTCTGAAAGTTCTTTTCTCGCGAATAAAGCGACAGCGTAAAATTGCGCTTTAGATTAGAGTATCCATCGTGGCGTTTCACCAATTATTAGTGTGTGTGTGAAACAGTTTCGGACAGCTCGCGCGCCGTCGTAACTTTTGTACGAAAGTTGCTCACAGAAATTCCGCACAGTACCGTTTTCTCTCCCGATATCGTTCCTCATACATAATATATGACAGTTTACATAAGCAACGATCGCTATTCTAAAAACCGTCGATTGCCAATCTTGCCGGAACAGCTCCACGTCTGACAGCACAATATCCTCGCGAGTATAGAAATTGATCGCTGTAAGTGAATTCGTTCCCCAAATATAACGGGAGACGTACTTGGAATATTTGGTGACTCTAAGAATTTTGAGAGGACGGCTCATGAATGCAAATTAAAACGTTTGCCGCTTCTGCCGCGCATCTCCTTCCTGGTCTTGCGCTATTTGGCCTCCTTTATAAGCGATATTCAAAAGTCGATAACTCGCTGGTTACTGGCGATATTTAAATTAAAAATACGATAAGCAATGTATGAATTATTGAAGAAAAGTCTGAAAAATTTTGTTCAATTTTTTAAATTGTCAATTGATAGACCGGTAGATTGATTAATGGAGAGACAATTGTCCAGAGATCGGACAGCTAATCTACATCGACGCAATTTCATAGAGTTAATGTATTTTTAATCGAATATCGTTAAACGTGGTCAACATAGCTGCGCCGAGCAAAGTGCCATTGCATACTATTTTCACGATATTAGATGCCCGCAAAATCGTAATGTCCGCTTCTACTTTCTTTATTTTTGCGTGGTGCGCATTCTCTCCTAAGTTTCCCTGCAAATATATATATATGGCGCGACGCACGATGCTCAACAATAAGAAAGCTTTAGACGACGGTGGCCATTACGGCACAGCATAATGCGCATTTCCAGCCCAACATTTCCAATAACACCGTTCAAGTGAGAATTATGCATTGAAGAAACGACCAAGAAATGGCGAAGAAAATTAATGGAAAAATGCACAATTTTTCCATTATTTACTGAAAGCAAATAATGTTAAATTTGACAGACTGTCATGTTCGGGGAAACGTTCGCGTGGCCTCAAATATTCAGCCGATGCGCATAACACACGTCAAGCACATTACTGTAGGCATAAGTCTCAGAAACGGAAATCGAGCTAAAAGGGACGCTAAGAGGAGAGAACGGATCAAAAGGGGAAGAACTTGAGCACAGTACGAAAGATATTTCCAATATTCTCGTAGCAACGCAAAGTTCGAGATAAGTACGCTTCTGATACAAACACTCATACAACATTCATGACTGACGACGACGCGACGCATTGATACCTTGCGCCTTTCCAGTTTCAGTGCATCAGGTCCTTGTCGTATCAAGACTGCCTTTCCCTCTCGAATGCAACCGTTAAAAGCGGCACACCGGAACTGATACAAATATCTTTTCTCGTCAACTCGAAGCCGAAAAAGAAATATGTGTGTGTGTGTATGTGTGTATATATATACAAAGTATATATATATATACGTGCACGAAGATCGTTAAAGAAGCTAGCTGGCCGAGAGATATTGCGTTACTTTTTCCAAACTCGATAAAGGCTATTGTCGGCCCTGGTGTCGGTGGCTTTGAGTCCCGAGATTGCCGAGCAACGGTGACCCTGTCCAAATGACAGTTTTATCGAATTTCTATGGTATCCCGGCCTGCGTCAACACATTTTCGCGCAGGTATATCGCGCAGCCAACGATGAATTACGGTCCTCCGGTATTTAGCAATGTATTATTACATCCCTAAGCCGGCTTTTCCGCGTCCCGATTATACACATCGCATAGCAATATTAATTACCCCTAGTAGTCGCTGAACCAAGTCAACGATAAGTTAACACTCCCCGAACGCGGTGGCCCGTATGAGCAATTTACATAAAAAGATAATTCCCGATAATTATTCTACCTACAATTGTGACAAGTGCATTCAACAATTTGTCAAAATTGTGTAATTTTTAATTTCGTTACAATTTACCAGGCGCATAGGTAACGCGTAATTTTAATTCGTTGAACGAGCAACATGCATTTTACAATTATATTACATAACTAACAGTTTACGGACGAATAGACATCGCACTGTTTACTATAAGAGAGAAAGGGAGAAAGAGAGAGAGAGAGAGAGAGAGAGAGAGAGAGAGAGAATTCGTGGGAATCGCGAAAATATATTCACGAGGAAATATACAAGTACGCACGTTTACGTTCGTAACGCCAGGGGTTGCCTAATGACGGCATTTCTTCGGGAGATTCATCTTGCGAAGCGCACCTCAGCGATTCTGGCGTTAAATTACGGAAAGATTAATAACTGTCGGGAAGATTAAAGCGTAGAGACTCGAAACGAGTATGCGCTACAATCGCGGTACCGTTATACGCGGCAACGCGGGTTAAGATATTTATCACATTAAATAATTTCGTACCTTGCTCCTTGTGAGACTCGTTCAATCTTAACGCTATGCGAATGATACAGATTCATAAAGACGGGGTGAAACTGTGAAAAGAAATGCGACAAATCTAAGTGTGAATATCTGTTTTATATTATCATTTTAGTTTATTTTTTAATAGATGTAAAATAGAGATCTTTTATCCCAAAATTCACTCGTTATTATTCACACACGTCGAGATTTTTTCTCCATATTTCTTGTCACTTGTCTTTCCTTCTCCGTCTTTAAAAATGTGATTTAAAAAATGTGTCATGTATCCCAATTTGGAATATTAATGTAACTAATATGCACATGTCATAATTATTATCATATTTTTGTAGTCTTTGCATGATTTTTGTGGAATACGTCCTCGAAAATGGTGTAAAGAGCCGGTGCTCGTTTACATATTGTTTTGTAATTTAATACAGGCAACACACACACACACACACACAAGTATTCATAATTTAATTCGTGCAATATATCTTTCCATGCAAAAAGTGAGTGTTGCGAAAGAAAAAACTGTCGCGTAATTTAATTGGCCTTTCTTCCTCCTCTTTCGGCGTGCGTCAATTAATTACTTTCGTTACATTAGTTTTTTATTCGTCGACTGTTGCCGCTCGTTAAGTCACCACGCGTTTCTTTGTTACAGCGTCACTCTGCGACATGGTTTACAACAGCGATTCAACGAAAACGGGCATAGTCATGTCGCCGGGATACCCGAACCCATATCCAGCCAGGACACATTGTACATACGATTTCCAAGGAAGAGGAAAAGAGCGGGTGCAAGTGGTATTTCAGGACCTGAATCTGTTTCATTCGCCGAGCGATCCAAATGAGTAAGTTTATTTAATATATCTTTTAATGATAATTATTAAACGTCTGCTATTAGCGCGCAGACTAATTGTATCCCGTGATAAATTATATCTATCGTGCGGATACATCTGGAATGATAAAATTTCATTTGTCTCGTCAAAGGCACGAGTCGCCGTATAGCCGTGCAATCGATTTGAACGTCGTGTATGTGCCGCATTCGTACGGTACCGTGTTTTCACGAGTGCATGCAGCATCATTGTGTTTAGTAACAGTGCACTCTTGCGATACATATCATTGTGTCTAGTACCCTTAGTCCATTCTTACGACACAAAAGGCGTATGCTACAAGGTACATTATGTATCTACACGCGTATAACAGACGTCGCCTACTCCGCCTTCAGACCCCTACGAGCCGGAGTACGATAAGTACAATCTCAAATTTTCATGAGTCGTCTTTCCCCCTCTCGAAAAAGGACGTAAGAGGTTAGTATTGCTCTGTGTTGTAAGTTAACATGTTCCAGCCTAGTGCTTTTCGCTTGTAAAAATCGTACGATGCCGAAAGTGCGGGAAAACCGCAACCAACTCCAATTTAGCGAATGCACGATAAAATTGTTACCTTGGTTGGAAATTTCCGAATTGTTGCGACACATCGCTGCGCACATCGTATATTTCTCTACCTCCCAGGTCAATATCCATTCACCTAAATTTGTCCATTCGTATACGCGAAGCTGCACGCTCACTTACCGATGATAGTAATTTTATTTAAATCCCGAGGAGAAGAGTCCGAATCCTTACTTGCAAAAATCTGATCGACCTTTCGCGAGGGCGAACCTGCACTCGAAAGTTCCGCAGTGGAGCTCGACCGAGGGCGTCACCCTCAACATAGAGATTGAAGAGGGAATCTGTCGTCATGACCGAAGAAATAGATCGGCATAGGAAATACCGCTGGGAAACGCCGCTTGTGATACAATGCTTCTCCGACAATTGTACTCGCTGCGATCACTTATCCTCTCATTCATTTTCCAGGCGGCTGGTCTTAAACACCATTTAATTAGCGGTCGCGCGTACTATTGAACTGACGTTTAAGTGGCACTTTCCCTGTTCCATAATTGTCTGTCGTGCATTTCGCGAGAATCAAGAGAGCTTCTCTGTCTTTAAGATGATAGTTACGGTCAAATAAACTCCGGCAACTCTCTACGATCGATATAATGCGCAGGTGAATAATGGCGGTGATACCATCTCGCCTTTCTCTGTACTGCTAGTATATGAAGTGACAAAGTTCTGGATAAGTTCATTCTCTCGCAGTTATTAGCATAACTGAAATTACATTTATAAAGTTATATAGGTAAATGTAGAGATTTTTCACCCATAGTAGAGAAAATAATATTCACCGCGCTAGAAAATAATATTCGAAAAATGCGTCACGAAGCATTTTCTGCATTATAATGTTGTCACATGTAAAGTTTAAGAGAATATCCTAGTCTCTGTAAAACTCTGTAAAAGTGGTCTGGTTTTTAAGAATAACGAAAATTTGAAACAACACAATTTTAAATTGCCTTTTAGTTCTTTTCTGTGGAAAATGTTGATTTTAACAGTTGTAAAACAATAACTTATTCAAAGATACTACAATAATTTTCCTCTCGCTCCACATTATCGCATTTGTTCATAATAGACGCTTCATAATACTATAGCGTATCTGCTGGTAATGCCCACGAGTGCATTCAAATGCTAGAGGGGTTTCTTCCGAATAGAACGTTGGAGAGCTCCGCGCCGACATCTGATTTTCCTGTCCAGTTTCCTTCCAATCATCCGAATGGATTGGTCGAAATTTTCCTCCAAGCACATGGCCGCGCATTCATGCAATCGCACCACACAAATTTGCTTATGTACGAAATCACTGCACATGATCATACAACATAGGCCTGCCTGAATAGCCAAATAATATTCTTTACCGTGCGTTATGTGTTGGCGCTCACTTGCTATGTCTTGCAAATTGTAAATTGGCTGGTTAAAAGCCGTCCATTGTGGATCGTGCCCGCAGGACAATTGCATAATTATGATACATTAAACCACAGCACGTTGAGCTCAAATAGAAGCCGCACATAATAGGAATGCTCAAACAGCAAATGCAGCGAGGGAATAAGGCTAGTTTTATACGAAAATGGATTCAACATGATTATGCTTTTAAAGCTTGCCTTATTATTCCATCGTAAAGAGAAAAAAATAAACAATTTTTTTCACATTTGGCAATTTGCAAAATATTGTAGTTTTGTAACTTGATTTAAATTGTGCGTGTTTCGAAAATTGCTTTCTCTGATGTTTTAATCGCATCTCTGGTTGAACATGTATCGTGCAACATTACATTATGTTACATTAGTTAGTCTGTCATCAGTTTTGCAATCACATCAAATTCACATCGTTTTTTTTTTCTCTTAAATTATATTAGTGAACATTGAAAAATTTAATACCGATACAACTCTGCATTTAGCATTATATTTCAAAGTAAACTTAAATACAAGCGCTACTTACTTGTATATATTTTATCGAATATGTAGTTTTGTGCACGTGTGGCTTCTTTTTTATGCTTCTCAAAGAGCAACATTTGCAGTATATTTGCTGATAAATGCTATGCAGACTTCAATAACTAAATTATCTAATATTGGTCCAGTGATTTCAAATACATACAAATATTTGATCAAACTGCGCTCTCTCGTCTCTCTATATTGGTACTAACTTTTATATTATTGTTCAACATGTCTAGGAAGTCTATTAATATTCAAAATATCAATATTCAAAACAACGATGGCTGGATATTATCTCGACCATCTATTACGATTTCAAGCATTGAAACATCGCATTATCGATGAGAGTGATTAGACGCTTCGTAAATTGTTCACAGTTGATCGCAGTCACTCCGGTATTTCTAACCAGACAAAGCGATTGCACGCGATTGCATGCGGATAATTTCCCCGCGATGGACAACAGTGAGTTCTTGTGTGTTAAGAGTTTTCGAAAGTCCAGACTCGAGAGTGTCAACCCGGTGTCGAGTTATCGTCCAAAGTTTGCCAGCGGCGCCGTAAGCATGGAATATAAAATTGCACAACGCGCGCAACGTGTTGCAAGTACATGTCCCGCTGGCGTACCGGGACAAATACATCTTGATTCCTCTGTTCTAACGGGACGTGAAATCAGAAACGAATGGAAATACGAGTTTCCCTGGTGGAGGAGCGTCTTTTGTCGAGAAAATGAAAAGTTTTTCCTATCGAATATGTTTTGTAACGGTGATGGGGGCTGCGTTCGAAGCAATGCTAAAACAACAGTGCGCGATAGTTGATGTTTAACAATTATACTAAATGTTTAACATCGCCCAAAGCGATTGTCGCAATAAGAATCGCTGTTTTACATCCAACATTCATAAAATCACAAATATATGTTTTTTTATTAAATATCCGCAATATATATTTCTCTAACATTTACATTTCTCTTTTATTCTTTTATACCATTACATAATATTATATGATAAAATAAATCCGCGCGAGAGGCAAGAGATAATTTACCTGCAATTATTGTAATTATTGAAATTAATGGAAATGGTGGCTTCCCACAATAATTATCACGCTTGAAAGTATCAAATTTAGCTGCTGCGCAGCCGCAAATATGTATTAATTAAAATTTGTTTCAAAAATTTTTATGTAAAAATATACGCGCGATATAACCCTGGGAATGACATAAATATATTTTTTTTCTTATTTGTTACAGCTGTGGCGGAGTGGATTCACTGGTGGCATACGTTCATATAGACGGAAAGAAGGACAAAATAGACTCGTTCTGTGGAGAAACACCACCGCGGCCTGTCATGAGCAACGGTCCGCGACTTTCCTTGGAATTTCAGGGACTAACGTCATCCCGCCATTCGAGAGGCTTTAAAGCGACATACTCTTTCATAGAAAGTAAGTGCACGATACATCGTCTTTAATAATAAGTTTCCCACCGACATACTTTACGCAACTGAATAGAAAATGAAGTAAGAAAAGACTACATTTCCTCGCAGTGTAATTCAAAGTAGGTAAATCTTCCAAATGGAATCCTCCCGCATTCGCATGAGCGCATTTAGATTTAGACGTACATTGTCCTATCGTAAATCGATCAGAAGTGTTCCGGTCCAGATGGACGACGGGCATCATCGAGAATAACTTATCGATGCGGAACGTGTTCGCGGCGCGAGATCAAGCGCGTGACGTACGATCTTATATATTCGCCAACGGGGCACGGAGCGCCCCGTATTCCGAGCTTTTCTCCTACGGCACCTATGTCCCGTCAAAATTTCAATTTCCGCTCAGCATTCTATCGCGATAGCAATGCGTCTCTCCTTGTTCCGCCGTTTATCACTCGATGCAGGTGAGCTCGGATTGTAGCGCACACGCGCTACGGGCGGCCGGTAGCGGAACAAATGGATCGCGAAGTGTGTTCATATCTTGCTCGCGAGACTTGTTCGCGGATATCGTAACGCGGAGAAAGTCAGAGAGTGCGCATCGCGAGCGCGTACGCCGACGAAAGTTTGTAAGGAGAGAGACAGAGGGGGAGGGTGCAAATGCACAGAAACGGAGGTCGGCAATCGGTCTCAAATATCAAGCGGAAAGAGGGAGGAGGGCAACTTTGCAGTACCGTCAGTTAAAGGATGAATATCGCTCGATTATGCCGGGTATTTTATCGTCCTCCGGCTACCATCGGGTAGAGAGTCGAAAGTTCGCGCGCTATCGCATAATTGAAACGCAGCAAAATGGATCCTGACCTATTTTGCAACGGCGGAAAGAGATACGGCGGCGAAGTTCCGGCAAAGTCTCCACCGCGGCACCGTATTATGAACGTTAACGGCAAGTTTGAGTTTAATTTTTACGAGCGCGACGTAACCCCCTTGCACTTCTCAAACTTCGTGGCTGAATTATCGCGCTAAGGGAGAGATGCGGGTACGTTCTTCGGGGCCCACATAAATAGACTTCGGAGGATCCTCGAGAAAGAGACGGGGATCGGTTCTCGCAAATCGAAGTAGGCATTCGGCAATCGAACTGGAACGGACACCGAGAAGAGATTCGCAGTCGCGCCATCCTTCGCCTATCTCCTCTCTCTCTTTCCTTCATCCGGCAAACCAGACGCGGGTCTCACTCCCCAAACTGTCACAAGCACAACGATGTTCACGGCGACGAATCGATATGACGCATCTTAGAAAGGACCTGCCGATCCCGCAGGAATAACATTCTACGCGCTGACTGGGACATTTCCTTCGGGGGCCGGATGTCATCTCGGACTGATATGTGCGTGTCAACCGAGTCGCGCGATACACATCCTCTCTGTGTAGCGTCTCTCTCTCTCTCTCTCGCTCCTTCTCTCGCTATGTACTTTCCCGCACATGCCCGAAATTATCCCTGATAATTGCAACATCATTGTCGCATAAGAAGAAGTCGCGACAACAAACACTAATCTTGCGCTCTTTGTTTCACTGTAACTCGACGTTACGGTCGACATCCGCGACAATAGCAGACGGATAATCGCGAATTATGCCGTAATGACAAACACTTTGTTGCGAACGCGCACGCGCGCGCGTTTACGAAGGGCGCGAGATTTATGACGTCTACTCGGCGCAATCCGCCCTTCTTGCAATTAGTTCCGTCCTCTGCCACGATGGTAAATTAGACTCCCTCTTAGTCTAAAAAGCGAGTCTACCTCTCTCTCTCTCTCTCTCTCTTTCTTCCTTTCGAGATTGTCGACCGCGCGAGAGAATCTATTTCGCCGCCTCTCCGAATATCGATCGCGCCTTATTTTCTCGCCGACGCGGCGTGGCGCCGTGGACGATGTCGCGTCAAAGCATCGACGTTTCTCAACGCGGAGACTTATCGCTACGTCGATTCGCAGTCGTTTAGTTACGGAGACGACGCACACTAGGGGACATCGACCGGAAGTTTCGGAATTCGGTCGAATGGGCCAAATATCTGTCGACAGCAGCAGCGACGACGGCAAGCGACATATTCTTCGCGACGCGGTTGAGCGAGAGAACTCGCGACTCGTCGAACGAGACGGTGACGGATTTACGAATCCATCGCCGGCGACGAGAAGTAGGGCATCGCTTTTGGAAAACAACGTCGGTCGTTGTCGTCGGTCGTTGTCGTCGGTCGTCGCGCTTCGGCATTCAAGTATATACGCGCATCCCGTGTTTGTCTCGCGTTTTGTTACGTACGTGTCCATACGCGAGCACTTGTCCCCCGCCGCCGGCATCAAACGTTCGAAACTTACGGGCGTATTAGCGGTAACGCTTTAACGTAACCTGACGTATTCCACTTTCGAACTTTAGAGGAGTTTCCACGCAATATTTCCGACGCAAACTCGGCAAAGTTGATGCGGGCGCGTCGTATTGTTGCGTCAAGACACAGCCAACAAGCGCAATGTCTCGCTTGGTGTTGCGCGCGGCCAGTCGAATCCGCAAACTTCGATCATCTATTAACTGCTTGATTTTTCGAGCGAATCTAAGCCCGCATCGATGACACGTGATACTAGATATACTAGGACGTAATACGGAGCGCGGATAATTTTGCAACGTATAAACTTTAAAAGACCTTAAAGAAAAGTTTTACGTCTGCGAAACACAAAACGCGATGGTCAAAAGGGAAAAAGAGAAAAGGACAGATTCATACTGCGACCCTTTAAATACCACCTTGGAATAGACCGTTTTGCATTTCGGAAGTTATTCCGCGCGAATAGTAAAACGAGGTGCCGGAATCGTTATCGTTGATTACAATTGCAAAGTTGGGTGGGGGCCGGCAGGCCCCCTCGCAGGAAGGAAGGAAACGAGACGAGGGAGCTCGGCGGCCGAACACACTCTCGGATACGCACACCCGCGCCGAATTGCGAGACGGCGGTGAATCTTTTGTCATGTAGATCGCCAGGACGATTTTAACGACAGTTATACCCCTCGAAAGTGTGATAAACAGCCCGCATGCAACCCGTATAGGTATGTACACAACTCGAGACGGTCCCGTTCCCGCCCACGGCCCCACATCGGGATTTCGGGATAGAAGCGTCGTGTGTGTTGGAGTAACATAAATTGCCAGCTCGTATATACTTGAACATTCTTCTCTTCCACCGTCGGGTATTATAAAAGTTCTCGCGAAACTTTATCAATTTTACGGATACGCCACGTGTACTGGAGAAAAAAAAGAAGAAATGAGCGAGCGTTTACTGCCCCTTTCTTTCTCTCCGTGTTTCGCTTTCCCTCCACTTCCTTTGATCACTTCTATATATGTGAACACGTATATGTACGTTGTTGCGCGTACGCGAGTATCCGAATTCGTACATATCCATTCGCATATACAAGACGTTATCGAGCGAAACGATGTTTCCAAAGACTGCCGAGCTGTAAGCTTCCAATTTCGATCTCGCTAAAATAGCGTCTTCAATAACGGTGCAAAAGTCCTTTTCTGGATTACGTTAAAAAATCAACAACAAACAATCCGCATTGGCTTTTATAGTTTACAGCTTCGTGCACAATAGATGAAAAAGATGTCGGTTGATCGCCGACTGTATACTGGATTTAAAAAAAAAAAGAGCCAACACGCTCGTTGCACACAAATACATATGATAAACAATGTCGTAAAATCGATAGAATAATATTGACGAGTATTCAAGTATCCATTACATTAATATAATATAATGGAAATGTAGCGGTAACTTTTGTTACACTTGGCATGTATCTACGAGATTACATATCGCTTTCATCGGGATAAGAGAAGCAGCCCGGAGTAAGGTGGAGAAATTTTCCCGTCTCGACAACCTTGAAAAATTGATGCCGTAGGTCGCCTCAGCTAGGTTTATCGGGGTAACGGGCAACTAAACGTACCATTTTATTGGATTCTCCGCTCCCGTCCCTCACAAATACCGGAGCCCAGGCCGTGCTTCCGTAGCCGTGCGTGAATCTCAATCGCGGAACCGCCGTGGCGAAACAAAATAGGTTTCCCGTCTGCCACGTAACTCGCCGGTTACGGAGATTCGTTCGACCGGCACACAATCCCGGGGAGTATCCGTGATATCAAAGTTCGAAGTACAGCGGACGTTGTCCAACAACAAACATGGCGAGATTGTTGATCCATGTTTGCTCTTCCAGCGTGTAACAGCGTGCGTAGTTATAATATTCTATAGCACCGGTGCATAGTTATACAAAGTGCCTAGCCTAACTTCTCCGCGAAATTTGAAAATGTTTTCAAATGCGTAGTTTCATCATTATGTTTAAACTAAACTTTGTGCCATCATTATTTGGTTGTACAAAAGTTATGCGAGAAGCGTATTTTACAATAGTTATTAATAACTTAGTGATTAATTTAATCATTCACGATTGAATTTTGGAATCAATTAACAATTAGAAAAGTTTTCAAACTCTACTGATAAATAGAAAATGTATTTCTACACTATAAGATTAGTATTTTATTACGGTTAGCTCGCGTAATTCATCGTCCGTTCTGTCTGTCAGTGTTCTCGTCAAACTGCAGCGCAAACCGGTGCATCGCGGTGTTCAAATAACATCCTGTAATTTCCGCAAAAATGTACAAAGCGCGTACAAACGTGACGGTCTCGTTACTTTAACTCCCACACACCTCACGTAATCGGGGAGGGAGGTTGCAGGAGAGAGGGACATTGCTTGTTGCAAACGCGAAACAAGCGGTGCGACCGGAAAAAAAGCGTACCGAGCGCAAAGGGCGGGGTCATCTCAAAATGAAAAACGTTACGTTGAAATGCGAGATGCTAGCAATACAAGTAGAAAGAACCATCGCGTCGGTGCCGGCTAAACTAACAATATGGGGACTTTAATTCGGAATAGATGTCATCGAAATAGATGAGTAAATAGTATGCACAATGAATGTAAAATAACATCGATTGAATACCTTGTAACGAAATACATATAACA